TTTGCTCGCGCCGACTAACCGGCAAAATACCGGAAGTGGCGCATTTCATGGACGAGAATAAATAAAACACATTATTAGACTGTTTAACCAAGGCTGCATGATATATTAAACATAATATTATATAATGAAGCATAATTGTAAATTCACAAATACTACGATTTAATTAAATAATTATATGCGATGCAGTTCTAATACAGTTATATGCGCTTTAATTATTTACATGCGTGTAGGTTAAGTACATGCATCCACAGGAACTGTTATCATTTACACGTGTGGAGCGTCTCAAACTCCATCTCTGCATGTTGTTGTGAGTTTGGGTTTATTATAACGTTCATCTGGGAACGCAATGTGTGCCATTTCATCAGATTTCTAAGGTAAATCATTTATAAATCTACGCACACACAGGAGAATACATCATTATCTCGCGGTTTCAAAATAAAAGCTAAAATCCTCATTCTGAGTTTACACGTTTTGATGTCCACATATTCTTTTAATTACGGTGGCTATAGCATTTCTGTCTTAAATAAATGGCCAAATATTAAAGATTAAGTGGACATTTGAATTAAATGGTGTTTGGTCAATATTAAACAAGTATTAGATAGATCGCACAGTAATGTGTAAAAACAATCGTCAGGCCGTTGGCGCCACCAGCAGGCCTTTGCTGTAATGTGTAATGTATATTAGCTCTATTGTTTATAATACATTATGTATTTTAACAGTTTTGTTCAATAAAACCATATGATTTCTTGCTTTTGATACTTTATTTGAACTAATTACTATTGCCTCATTGCTATTATATATGTATTTAAGTAATATTAAAGGCTATTGTTCACTTACATCTATTTTTATTACCACAAAACAATTATATAATTATAGGGCCCTATGAAATACGATTTATTTCCAAATTCCATTTTTTTCCATTTTCATTTTTCTATACTCTAGTTTTAATGGTTAAATAAAATTTTATTAATCAAAAAGCCTGTCTAATTAATTGAGTTTTACAGTTTTATCTTTACCAAATTCAGTTTTCCATTATTTTCTGGATTCCATTTTAATGGTTGCATTAAACTTTAATAATCAAAAGCATCTCCAATTAATTGCTTTTATTTAAATTTTTTAAAAAAAAATTTTAATAAGTTTTTTTTTCTTCTTTTTTTCAGAAATACTGCACATTTACATTTTCCTCCTAATTAAATTCTGGTAAATAACATTTCTGGTAAATACTCTGTAAAAATAATCTGGTAAAAATGTTTTTTGATTATAATTTTATTATTAGTAGACTAGAACACATGGATATGTTGTCATTCTTACACTATAATACTGAACATTGATTTCAGTGATTTGGACTATGAGATGGACACTTGCTTCTTGCACTTTACTTTTGCTTTAAAAAAAAGGATTTCATAGAAATTTGGATTTCATTTGGTTTAATAAAATTTAGTTGAATAAAATATTTTTAAGTAAAATTGTAGAATTTTTTTTTTGTGGGAAATTAATCGTTTAGATTAATCGATAGATTAATCTAAATAAAAATAATCGTTAGTGGCAGCCCTAATTATGATATTGGAAGAGTTGTGCCACCTTGACAGACTTTACATTATGCTCCCTAAAAAAAAATGATTTCGGAATGACAAACATGTTCATCATAGGTGTGTTTATTGTGTGCTGTGTATTCTCTACCTGTTAGTCTCCACGTTTATGACTTTAATGCCCAGCATAGTGCCGTAAAGCACAAAGTGTCCGGTCTCGTCGAAGATGATGTTGGTCAGTCGGATGCCGTCCACCTTCTCCAGCTCTCGCTCCACCGCCATCCTGCGGCCAAACTCCATATCAGGCAACTGCTGCCTCATCTGCTGGAGCTCCGTGAACATCTGCCATTGAGTGCATACCGGCGACAAATTACTTGAAGTTCTTCCAACGTGCATTTGTTAACCTTTAAAATCAGTAAATATATAACTATTAAAATGATAAGACACTAACTTACGGTTAATGATTCATCAAACACTCTCATCAGCTTCCCAGTGAGGAAACGGAAAATCCGGACTTTGCGGTCAGTGGCGATGGTGGCCATTTTCTTGCCGTCTTGGGAGAACGCCAGGCTGGTGGGATACGTTCTGCATTTGGCAAACTCGTACAAGTCCGTGTCGGTCTTGAACTCCCACTCCACCTGCCGTGGAAATTTGAATTCGCTCGGGAGCCCCGTCCAGTATTCCAACATTCCCGCTTTATCAGCCGACACTATGACGCGATACTTGGGATTCAGGCGGATCTGAGACAGTGGCGTGGTGTGCATCTTTGCAAACGTGTGCAGGGGCTGATTACTTCCCCGTCCGTCGTATACAAAAATCTTCCCAGTCGATTTCTCCGAACAGGCTACGGTGGAGATGGCGTCTCCCGGATTATAGATCCACTCGCACTGGCCTGGATGAAAGCTGGGGGAAAAAAAAGAAACTTGCTTAATCCGGGATGGTCTTAAAAAATAGTCACACTCACAAAAATGCAAAAAATAAAAAAAATACACATTTGTGACCTGGAGCACAAAAGCAGTGTTAAGTCGCTGGGGTATATTTGTAGCAATAGCCAAAAATACATTGTATGCATCAAAATTATAGATTTTTCTTTTATGCCAAAAATCATTAGGATATTAAATAAAGATTATGTTCAATGAAGATATTTTGTAAATTTTCTACCGTAAATATATCAAAACTTAATTTTTGATTAGTAATATGCATTGCTAAGAACTTCATTTGGACAACTTTAAAGGCGATTTTCTCAATATTTAGATTTTTTTGCACCCTCAGATTCCAGATTTTCAAATAGTTGTATCTCGGCCAAATATTGTCCTATCCTAACAAACCATACAAAAATGGAAAGCGTATTTATTCAGCTTTCAGATGATCTATACATCTCAATTTCAAAAAATTGACCCTTATGACTGGTTTTGTGGTCCAGCGTCACATTTCTTTCTTTCTCCCACCAGATGACACCAAACTGCTCAATATTTTTGCTTACATATTTTGAAATAAATAGTGTATAATTTAAAAGTATTGTCTATGACCATGAAATACTTAATACAGAATATTAAAGAATATATTTTATTTAAAAAATAAATAGGGTACATTATTTTCATGAAAAAATTAGGAATATCACAGGGTTAAAAATAAAATAAAGCAAAACATTGATTAAAAAAAACATACAGCAAATTCACACACACAGAAGAGCCAGATGTTACCCGAGTTTGAGCATGTTGATCATGTCGAAGTTAACGACATCAAAAACTTTCATGGCCTGATCATCACCCACAGAGCAGAAAAGCGCTCCCTCCGCACTGACGGAGATACACTCCATCACACCTACATGCCAGAAACAAACAGACAAATTATTTACAAATACTGTTTTTATATATGTTCTGAAAGAAAACCCCACTACCACAATGCTAGGCTTGTTGTAAGTGGTTGGTATGGTGTTGCATTCTCTTGTTCTAGACGGTTCGCCAAGCGTTTGCTAGGGTTTTGTAATAACAGGACACCTACCCAAATGGCTGCGGAAGTGCTTGACAAACTCCACTCCTTCATCCTCTTTCTTCTTCCAGAATTTCACATGCCCATCTTGACTCGCTGTTATGATAAAATCTGTTCTGGGATGGTAAAAAATGACAATCAAGTCAAACAAATGCACTTGTCTTCAAATTTTGATTTGTCTGACCACAGAACAGTTTTCCACTTTGCCACAGTCCATTTTAAATGAGCCTTGGCCCAGAGAAAACGCCTGCGCTTCTGGATCATGTTTAGATATGGCTTCTTTTTTGACCTACAGAGTTTTAGCCGGCAACGGCGAATGGCACGGTGGATTGTGTTCACCGACAATGTTTTCTGGAAGTATTCCTGAGCCCATGTTGTGATTTCCATTACAGTAGCATTCCTGTATGTGATGCAGTGCCGTCTAAGGGCCCGAAGATCACGGGCATCCAGTATGGTTTTCCGGCCTTGACCCTTACGCACAGAGATTGTTCCAGATTCTCTGAATCTTTGGATGATATTATGCACTGTAGATGATGATAACTTCAAACTCTTTGCAATTTTTCTCTGAGAAACTCCTTTCTGATATTGCTCCACTATTTTTTGCTGCAGCATTGGGGGAATTGGTGATCCTCTGCCCATCTTGACTTCTGAGAGACACTGCCACTCTGAGAGGCTCTTTTTATACCCAATCATGTTGTCAATTGACCTAATAAGTTGCAAATTGGTCTTCCAGCTGTTCCTTATATGTACATTTAACTTTTCCGGCCTCTTATTGCTACCTGTCCCACCTTTTTTGGAATGTGTAGCTCTCATGAAATCCAAAATGAGCCAATATTTGGCATGACATTTCAAAATGTCTCACTTTCACCATTTGATATGTTATCTATATTCTATTGTGAATAAAATATAAGTTTATGAGATTTGTAAATTATTCCATTCCTTTTTTACTCACAATTTGTACAGTGTCCCAACTTTTTTGGAATTGGGTTTGTATGTATAAATTTAAGCAATACATGTAATATATATTAATATTTATATATTTGCAAATATATGCATTTATTTTTCTGTTAAGGTTGTAAACTCTGCTTGTCAGATTTTTTAACTGGTCAATCAGGTAAATTTATCTAGCTGGCTGTGGAATTACTAAGCTATAATAACATAAATAATTATACATGTATATAGACTGAGAGAGGGGTTTTTCATGGTGGGGTTAACGAAAACTACTGGCCTGACCGGGCATGCAATAAAAACAATGTTAATATATTATTAATATTCTGAGGTGGCAAATTGGAGGGAACTTACTTGGAGCAAACAATGTGTGTAATAACATCCCTGTGCATGTAACTTCTCTCATACATGGAGGCAGAGGGTAAATTGTCCAGGTACAATCTTTCATACTCCAGAACTGCAGCAGAACACATATGAGCCATTAATAAACAGTTATCTCAGTCTAAACCAAACAGCACACTGCTATGAACACAGAAGACATGCAATATTTGATAGAAACGGCTAACTGCGTCTCGAAACTCCATTAGCTTACAATCTAGGCATGTTATAAGTGACTATAACGCCCACAAACGTTGTCTAGGGTTCTAGTTAGGCAGCTCACTAGGTTTAGAGACACAGTCATAGACTCGCTCTTCCGGGTTTTTGCAGCATAAATCAAGTTAACGTACCTTTCTTCTTTTTTGTTTGTGTGGCCTCACTGGGCAGCGGCCCGACCCATCCGCCTTCATCTTCATCTTCATCTAGCTTGCGTTTATTTTCAGAAACATCACGGCTCACGGCGGACGCCATTTTCAAATTAAAGTTTATATCTCTTCTTCGATGGTGGTTTTAACGCAACCAGCTGCTCTCTACCACACACCGCCGACTACAGGATGGGAGATGAACTTCAGTTAGCAGGCACTCGACCAAAATAAAGTGCATTCTCGAAAAGCGACACCTAGCATTATTTTTTTCATTTACGGTAAAATGGTAAATTCTTGTCATACTGTACAACAGAAAGTGCTATGGTAATCCTGTTATATTTAACTCTGCTCGTTTGTTGAGTGGTACATGTATGTTGTAACACAGAACATTTTTGTAAGGGTTAAGATGAAGCAACATACTGACACAGTGAGGGATGTAGGCTTACAAATGAGCACACATAGGCCTTTAGAAGTTTATGTATAAAGTGCAAAGTACTGAAATGTGTAAATCTCTTTTACAGCATGCCTAAGTGTGTCTCATCAGGTCATCAAAAGTTCTACACACACTCGGTCTTCACACCAACTTGAAAACTTGGGACAAATGAAAAGAGCGTCCATAGAAAATAATACTACATTATAAATTTAATTTTAATTATAATTTTTATTATTAACTTTAATTTTAAATGCATACGACATTATACACGTAACACATTTACTTGATTACCCAATGGCTGTATGTGTTTTTTTCCCCTGTGTTTATATATTATTGCTTATTAATTTGACATTTCGTACATTGTAAAATTACTACAACATATTTAGACAGATTGGCAATGGTCTGAAACCCTCTCCGTGTCCCGATTATTTGTACATGCACTAGAATTGAATAGCTTGGAAATGGATCTACAACCGTTTCCGGACTCATAACCCTCAACAACTTTCCATGAGAGGGTTCACAATTTATTAGTTCCAGACGTTATTGAGCTTCTGCTGCTATAGCCTCACACAACTCATCAATGCTTAAATTATATTCATACCTGGCAATGTGAAATTGCTTTATTTTGCATTTGCAAAGTACTTCATTATTATTTGTGTATGTGATATTAAGATTATTAACATGTAATCTATCAACATACAAAGAATGATTATGAGAATATATATATATAATGTTTTTTCTGCTCATCAAGGCTGCGTTTATTTGGTCAAAAATATAGTAAAAATAGTGAAATATTATTACAGTTTAAAATAACGGTTTTCTATGTGAATATCTATTAAACTGTAATTTATTTCTGTGATGTAAAGCTGTATTTTCAGCATCATTACTCCAGTCTTCAGTGTCACATGATCTCCAGAAATCATAATAATGTGCTGATTTGCTGCTCAAGAAACACTTCTGATTATTATCAATGTTGAAAACAATAGTGCTGCACAATATTTTTGTGGAAACCGTGATACATTTCGTTTTTCAGGATTCACAGATGAACAGAAAGTTCAAAAGAACAGCATTTATTTGAAACCGAAATAGAACCTTTTGTAACTATAAATGACTTTACTGTCACTTCTGATCAATTGAATGCGAGCTTGATGAATAAAAGTATTAATTTCTTTCAAATAAATAAAATACATATCTATGAAAATAAAACACAAAATACATACGTCGACCGGGTATGCCATCATGCGAACAGAAAATTCATATACTATGTACTGTAACTCACACCTGGATTATTATATGTAAAATAAAACAAAACCCATAATATATGTAAAAACAAAAAAAACATTTCAGGTAGCTGCGTTTCGCATTTTCAATTAGCCAACAAGATTAACTAATATATATATGGGGTTACACTTTATTTTAAGTTGTCCTTGTTACAGTGTAATTATACATTTCAGCACTGAGTAATATTAATTAACTAGGGCTACTAACTATATGGTTAGGGTTACTTGCAAGTAATTATGCATAATTTATTACTATAATACAGTTTAAGATTGCTTAAGCACAATTTTGAAAACAGGGCCCGGTTTGTCAAAACATGACACACAATTAACACAACCCTACACCAAAGTAGCACACCACTTCAGAGCATTTGCAAATCCATCATGCGAACAGAAAATTCATATACTATGTACTGTAACTCACACCTGGATTATTATATGTAAAATAAAACAAAACCCATAATATATGTAAAAACAAAAAAAACATTTCAGGTAGCTGCGTTTCGCATTTTCAATTAGCCAACAAGATTAACTAATATATACAGTGGGTACGGAAAGTATTCAGACCCCCTTAAATTTTTCACTCTTTGTTATATTGCAGCCATTTGCTAAAATCATTTAAGTTCATTTTTTTTCCTCATTAATGTACACACAGCACCCCATATTGACAGAAAAACACAGAATTGTTGACATTTTTGCAGATTTATTAAAAAAGAAAAACTGAAATATCACATGGTCCTAAGTATTCAGACCCTTTGCTGTGACACTCAAATATTTAACTCGGGTTACACTTTATTTTAAGTTGTCCTTGTTACAGTGTAATTATACATTTCAGCACTGAGTAATATTAATTAACTAGGGCTACTAACTATATGGTTAGGGTTACTTGCAAGTAATTATGCATAATTTATTACTATAATACAGTTTAAGATTGCTTAAGCACAATTTTGAAAACAGGGCCCGGTTTGTCAAAACATGACACACAATTAACACAACCCTACACCAAAGTAGCACACCACTTCAGAGCATTTGCAAAATGGAACACTTGTCAAAACTATACACAATTTTATAAAAACAATTTTGTTACCATACGAAACACATTTCATATGACTTTAATCTTTTTGAACCAGTTACACACTGCTGTTGCTAACCTAAAACACTTTTAGCAAGTCTAATTCTCAGTGATTAGAGTACACAGAGAGAGCGCAACTATACAATAGTTCACCAAACACTACACAAGACCAATGCTGCAGACTGACGAAAATATCATTGATTTCTCTCCATATACCCAAATCAGTCAACATGGAGAATCACAACAAAACATGTCCCAGTTGTCATGCTACTACAGTAGTGTGCAGAACACTGTTAGCTCAGCAAACAACAGACAAACGGAAAATACTGTATCCAGTACAGGTTACAATTACAGTAAATAACCATAAAAAAAAAAGTAATCTGAAAAACTGACAATATTGTACAGAAAATACTACAGTAAACATACTATACATTATCTCAAATACTGTATCCAGTACAGGTTACAATTACAGTAAATAACCATTAAAAAAAATAATCTGAAAAAAAAACTGACAATATTGTACAGAAAATACTACAGTAAACAGACTATACATTATCTCGTCGCCTAGCTGGATCTGGCCAGAGAATTTCATCAACAATCACAAGCAATATCCTCATTAGCAAGACAACGCGGGAAGAACCGTCTTGAATGTCGAATCCATCCTTGCACAGCTGCGGCGTCGACTTGGTCACAGGCGTCCTCCATGGCCTGAATGAGGGGTACCTGAGCCTGGGGCTTGAGATCGTAAACCTTCCACCGTCATGCAGAGAAAAACTCTTCAATAGGGTTTAGAAACAGAGTATGGTGGAAGGTATAGTACGGTCAACGGTGGATGGTGTTGAAACCAGTTCTGGACCAAAGCAGAGCGCTGGAAATGACTCTAAATAGGACTTTAACTTGTTACGTGGCTCGGACAATCTGAATGTTCAGCATTAAGATGTTTGTTCCTCGTTTATTTAGGGTTTGTGTCGTTACCTGCTCACCTGACGAGCAGACGCGCGCGCGCCGGCAGGCACATCTGCAGTGACGTCACGCCGAAGCTCCCGGCGGTGCTGGAGTTCGAGTGCTGCCTCAAACCCGGCTCCAGTGTTAGAGGCTGCACGCCTCTGATCAGCGCTGCTGTCCTGCAAGCGGTGTGCGTTACTGTTATGATCCATCTCTGGTGAATCAAAGAGCACGAGACCAAACAATAAGCCATCACACACGCTGGAAACTTAAACAGTTGAAGACGAGCTGATTACACAAACTTCTTCAACAACTTTTTCATATTTTGGAGTTTCCCCCCCCTGCATTGCTGATGAAGCGAGTTCATGAAGATATTTTTTTTTGGTTCCTGTACAAGGACACAACTACATTTGTTAGCATGAGAATGGCTTGAAGCGAAACGAGAGATTTGCTGAAGAATGCACTGAAGTGGAATCAAATGAAGATTTCTACTGTCTGCATGTGCTCTACTATAAAAGATGAAGACGGTAACTATCATTTCTTACGGGCTTTCAGACAGGAAGGATAGTCTGGGCATTCCCAGTGGAGTTTGCACAGAAGATATCAATGCATGTCAATATAACGGAGTCTGGTTTTAATAGTAGCCTGATCCTTTGTGACGGCTTTATCTCAGACGACAACATTAATGAAAGATACTAAGTAAAAAAAAGAAAAAGAGTCCCATTGGTAGTCTTCTCATTGGTCTCGTGTGTTTGTATTTCAGCGGTCAGTGTAATAGTGTTGGGCAGTTGCCAGCTGTCTGGGTCAGACACGTTTTAGACTCGAGCTGCTGTCTGGAAGAAGCCGTTTTATTCAACTCATGAATGTTCGTCTGCACAGCTTCAGCTTCTGCTGCGATAGTAAGAAACACATGCAAAAGGAGCTGACATATAGGATATATCTGTTGGAACTGGACGACTCTTGGGCTGGAGGTTCTAGCATTTGATTTGATGTTCATCCGGTGAGTTACATCTGGAGTTGCTTTTACTGTCACATAGAGCTCTATACATTGAGTCTAGCAATGGTACTGTAACTCAGTCCTGTTTCATAGATAGATAGATAGATAGGTAGGTAGGTAGGTAGATAGATAGATAGATAGATAGGTTCTGCACAACTACCATCACCAAACAGAATTCCAAAAGTTCAGGTGTCCTGAACACTCTGCTATTGGTTGGACAAACAGATAGTCCCGTCCCCAACTCACGCTATTGGTTGAATCAGTGTTGCTATGCTGGGAAGCTCAAACAAGCAGAGCAATGTTTTGATAACACCAAATTGTTTACACTTTTTGGGAAAATCAACCAAATGTTGACTACAAATCCTTATAGTTGTCGGTGCATTTTAAGCTCAGATAGGTGAAAGGATTTTAACAATGAAAAGTGTCCATATCAATGTCTTGCTCAGCAGTTTAACAGCAGAGCTTCAGGCATGGTCCAGAATGAGTCAGCATGTCTACATCACATTAATAAAGCTTAGGCAGCTTCAAGAAACTTATGCCTCATGTGTGACTAACACGAGAGAGAGAGAGAGGGAGAGAGAGCTTAAAGCGCCTCGTCTGTTTTGCTGCCAGAGTTCTTATCTATGTCCCTGTCTCTGTGTACACGGCTGCTTCTGCTCACTGTTAAAGTGACTGCTGAGTGACAGCAAAATATTAGCTTAACTGTCTCTCCGCATCGGGCTTGAATCCCTCCTGCACCTGCGAGCCCTTTGCCAGCTGATTCCTATCTCACGCTGAGCATTTCATCTGGTGGGGACTTTGATGTTGCTTAACTAAACCGCACTCCACACGGTTGCTGTGAAACGTGGCTTCCTGTGATGCAATGCGATTTGTCGAAATGTTAGATCACGGCTCTGGCTAGTATAAGCTAGCGGGACCCTGCAAATTTCCTTGACAACTCACTTCTGTAACTTTACTGCAGAAAGAATTAATTCATTGTTTTGAGGTCTTGCAGGACATTTAGCATTTGTGAATATAACAAAGTTCGTAGTTCGGGAAGAAGGAGGCGGGAACCGGCGAACATTCAAACATACTTTAAATAATAAAATAAACACAAAATACCATGACAGCCCCTCACGGACGACTGCCGTGCATAAACAGAACCAAAACACAAAATAAAATCCAGGCCTGGTCCTCTCTCGTCCAACCCTGTCGTCACTCCTCCTTTTATCCTTCCGGAGCTCCTCCGTTCCCACGGCTCTCGGCCCCGCCCCACTCGTCACATACTCCCATCGCCTCCCGCAGGCCGGGGGGTACTCCCGAGACTGCGCTCTACTCCCCCCCTCCCCCCTCCGGGGGAGCCGATCACGGCGGCCGCTGCATACCTGGGGGTAAGGACAGACAGACGAGGCGAGAGAAAAGGAGACGGAAGGATGAGGAGAGAGAGAGACGAGAGAGGGGAGAGAGGGAAAAAAATTCTTGTTCCGGTTCCCAGACACACTGCCGCTCGGCCCTCCACCAGCTTGGTAAACTCTTCCGTGATGCCTGGCGGTGGCACTGGATAGCCCTCGGTGGATGGCCCGACACTCCTCCGCCGCCCGGAGGACGGCAAAGGTGCCTCCGGGTTCGGGCAGCCAGCAGGAGTCCCCCGTTCCCTGCTCCTCCCCATCATAGCGGATGGCAGCAGGCTCCGGCCTCAGGCGAACGCGGCGACTCCTCCGCTCCCTCACGGACGGCAACAGTCCCTCCACAGCCCAGGCCGCCGGCAGCGAGTTCGTCCACCCCCCGGCAACTCACTCTAGCCCACCGCCTCGAGTGTCCATGGCGGCAGACTGCTCCGTCATGCTCGATGGCACTGCGGATTCACCACAGCGGCGAGGGATCTCTGGCAGCGTGTCCCTCCTTCCTCCCGGGTTTCAGCACCAATGTAACACAATGTTCGGGAAGAACGAGGCGGGAACCGGCGAACATTCAAACATAATTTTAATAATAAAATAAACACAAAATACCCACAGACAGACAGAACAAACAGAACCAAAACACTAAATAAAATCCAGGCCTGGTCCTTTCTCGTCTTGCACTGTCGTCACTCCTCCTTTTATCCTTCCGGAGCTCCTCCGTGGGACTCGAGACCGGTGAGTGGCGCAGGTGTCGTACATTATCACTTACTCCACCGGCCTCGCTCCGTTCCCACGGCTCTCGACCCTGCCCCCACTCGTCACAGTGAACAATTCGGTTGAACGCTGCTATGTGATAAATATATATACAGTATATGAGACATTTTTTCAAATACCCCAGAAGAAACAGTCATACAGGTTTGGAACAACGTGACTAAATTGTGAACTATTCCCTTGAAATAGCTTTAGCGTAGTTACATTTAACTACTTTTCCAAATGCTTGACTGTCATTTAAGTACTTTAAACTATGAGTAGCTTGTATCTTGGCAAGATTCAGTTTTAAAGTAGCATCCCCATCACTGGAAGCTAGACTACAGTCGTGCATGTTGTGTCTTTAACTTGACGAGAGACTGAGAGGGAAATTCCCAAGAGATCCGGCCCTGTGCAATTACCTTAAACTGGGGTGTTCATGTGGGAGGACAGGCCTCGATATTGGATTCCACCCTGGTATCAGCAGCACCCTTGCATAAATCTATGAGAATTTAGAGTGGCTCTGCTGGTCCTGAGGCATTTCCTGCAGCCACTGTATCTGTGTGCAAACACACTTCCCTCTAAACCGCCGTGCAGACCTATAGTTTCAGGAGTTCAGTAAACAGGATCTTTACCTGACTCCTCAGTTGGATATCGCAAAAGATGACGGAATGATGATTTAAAGAATTTTCAATACACCTTAGGCTCACTCAGCAGAATTTGTGACATGGTGTTGATTACTACGGTAATTTATTTCTTGTTCCTTAATTTGTAAGAACCATCTCAATGGCAGTTGTTTGACTGGCACATGACCTACATGATTAATATTAGGAATTTAATCGTTTTAGCTTTTATGTGAAGCTTTTGAATTTGGAGAACGTAATTTATATGAGAATATAAAAAAAGGTTATTTACACTGCACTCTCTCATCTCGTATAATAAATCTTTGTAATTACTTCAAAAATTCAGTTGTGATTCGTGCTCAAAAATCAGAAATTGTAATTTTATTTTACACTTGTTGATTTGTGCTTATATGTGAAAGTGCAGTAATTATGATGAAATTTCTCAAATTACATAATTGCGGGTAGAATTTTTGAGGATAAATAATTGTGATTATCAGTAACTATTATGCAGTTTAACATGATCATTAAACCGTTTTCAACCAAAACCATAAAACTTTATGCCCATTTTACATGACAACAGTGTTTTAGTGGCCTGAAAATGCAAATTTTTGAAACTGGGTTTAAAAGTCCAAGTTTTTGAAAATAATAAGTTATCGTCTCAGGGTAAACTAAACACTCAATTAAGCTCAGTTCGCAAGAAATTGACATAAAAAATTAGGCGGTTTTCTATGTTTCACTATGTGTAGTTACTGCATTTTGGCTTTATGAGTTTGTATAAAATAATGAAAACAATATTTTGTCGGAATGTATAGCTACATTGAAGTTGCCAATGGAGAAGGAGGCTCTTTGCATAACAGCATCTACCAGTAGGCTAACAAGCAAAAATTGCATTTACAGTATTGGACTTACTATGGAATTTTCTCTGAAATTTTTTAATTATTTGTCATTTTATTGTGGGGGTCTTTTCCTTTTGCCTGTAAAGGTCGAAAATGTTTTCACAAATCTTATGTTAACACTAAGTAAGTATAAACATAATGTTGAGGTTTTACAAACTAAGGCATGTGAAGCGTGAATTCTTTTCTGCCACAAATGCTGTCCAAAAAGCTTACTTGAGATTGCTGTAAGACCTCAGATAAGGCATCTAACTTATCATTTCACATGATTTAGGACACAAAGTGTTTTTTTGCTGTATTGATTACCATTTGTATAACCACAGTTTTACTACAAATGCGATGGTTAAACTGTGGTTAAAAAACATGGTTAATTTGTGGTTACCATGGATTAACTATAGTAGTCATGGTTTTTGTGGCTTCATTTGTAGTAAAATTAATTTTTTGATACTTTTGGAGCTTTGGTGTTGCCGACTTTGCGTCTAAAATATTTCATTTGTAGTAAAACCATGGTTAATATTTCGTAAGGTTTGATATCTGATATCATCAAGTTTGATCTGTCCCAATGGCTGGGCTCAAATGAAAGTAAAAGCAACGCTTTTTCAAACATAATGTTCCACCTCTTGCCATTAAACCAACCAGATTACCAACACAAAAGCTTTAGGCTGTAGTCCACAAGAAATTTCAAACAGCTCTGCTTTATCAGGTCTGGAATATTAGGCTTTTCTCCACAATCCTCCTTTAGACAGAATAAAGAACGAGACAATTGTAATGATGCTAAAATGTTATATTATGATTGTTGCGGCCAAAGGTACTGGCTCACCATACTTCATAAATTGAGATCTCTGCATTGCTTCAGTCATTTTATTGAAACCAAAAATGGAAAAACAATCCTTTGAATGCCTCAGCAGTTTTCGCCATGCATCACACAGCATACAGCTTATATCAACTGCGCTTTTGTTTTGCGTGTGCAGCGTTGGCTATTTCTTTGCAAAGATTTAATTGGTCTCATTGTGGAGTTTTACAGACTTGGAGAACATGCCAGCATTTTTTTTCTTCTTCTTTTTCTATAAACACATTTCTGAGGCTCTTTTTGAATTTATGTTAAGTGGGGGTGTTGGGTGGGGGGGGGGGGGGGGTGTTCAAGGGCGCAGGTCTGTGTGCTTTGGTTCCTGTCCCAGTAATTACAGTGTTGTTCTTTATGTAATTGGTGGTTTTTGAGTGATTTATCTCATTGATTTGTATTGTGGCGTGTTTTTGCATTTGCTTGCAATGCTGAATGATATGAATTGCTTGAAATAATATGAGTAATAGTTATCTGCATTCTGGTATGTATTTTAACAGCATGAATATATTTGTAGAGATGATAAGCATGTGATACAGCCATTAAAATTCATGAATTTACAACCTTGTCCTTGACATTGCAAATGGAATATTTCAAACCTTGTCAATGAACATATCTTCTTGTTTTTCCTATGTGCTTTTTGTGTAACCTATCATTTTCTCTTTTCTTATCAAGCATGGTGTCATAACCACAGAGGACGAGCAATATTTAATAGAGCCATTAAAAAATATATCCAGAAATGTCAGTGATGTCAACCACGATGGACAACCACATGTTATTTATAAAAAGGCTTCCATTCCTTCTCTGCAAGAGCTAAGCGAGAAGTTCAGCTGTGGTGTTTCAGGTTGGTAAACCTCCATTTGGCCACATTGTGACATAAACAGCTATAGATAGCAGTTTAGGAAATGATGGTCAGTGGTTCAGGTTTGGCTGGAAGTCTCTGCAAACAGCTTCGGCATAAACGTTGAGTTAAGATCTACTTCAGCTAAACCTCATTTTACTATCAATTGAACTGCTAATGAATCACTTTTTGATGAAAATGTGAACCATTTTTGTTTTCCCCAGACCTCACAATAAACAGGACACCTCGCTACGATACCAATCCTGAAGCAAACACACCTTACCCAGCCACGGACGGCGACAGCTCGATGGGTGGCCACCGCCAGCGGCGTTCTGTCAGCTCTGAACGCTTTGTAGAGACTCTAGTGGTGGCGGACAAAATGATGGTTGGCTACCACGGTCGCAAAGACATCGAGCACTACATCCTGTCCGTAATGAATATTGTAAGCTTGGTCCTGCTTTTCTCATGTGTATTTGTCTCCAATGTGCGTTTTATTCCCTTTTAAGGGTACGTGAGAAGAACTCGAACAGCATTTGGCTGACTTTGTGTCTTTTCTTCTTTTCTGGAGGTCAGGTTGCCAAACTTTACCGTGATGCCAGTCTTGGAAACGTTGTGAACATTATTGTTACCCGACTGATTGTTCTGACAGAAGATCAGGTGAGTGTTGCAGAAGTCGATCGTTGACCCAAAAATGACAATTCTGTCATTGCTTACTCAACCTCATGTCGTTCCAAACCTGTATGACTTACTCTCTTCTTTGAAACACAAAAGAAGATATTTTGAAGAAGGTTCATGGTCTTTTGGACTCCATTAGCTTTTACTGTAAGGACGAAAAACAATGAGACTTCATTGTTGTGTTCCACAGAAGAAAGAACGTCATACACATTTAGAATGGCATGAGGATGAGTAAACAATGAAGAGTTTTCATTTTTGGGTGAAATATCCCTTTAATGGTGCAATTCTTCAAGAATAAACAGTTTATAGTGTACAGCTGCATTTTGGTTTTGCTAAAGGTCAATGTATTTCAGTAGTACTTCTTAAGATTAGACTGGTGTGATATTTTTCCCTAGTCTCATGCACATGCACACTATTCATCGTTCTTGTCTTTCGTCTACATTAGCATTAAATGAGCGTGAGCTCAGAGTATTTTTAGAAGCTTAGAAACACACCTCACAGTAGTCTGCTGTTTTATTGCCCTGAAAAAGACAGATGGAATCATGAATCGTCTGACCACTTTTAAAGATAAAAGTTATTCGAACAGATATGCCTAGACATTGTCCCTGAGGGAAACTTTGTAAAAGATTTTACGTTAATGTCTTTAATGAGAGAGCCAGGGCGTTTGTCTATGTTTTTTTGTTCTTGGAAGAGTCCAATAACTCTTCCCAGACTGGGAAACCAACCAAAAGATCCAACTAGCTCTAAGATGATTTCATAAGAGCTACAATTCACATTGTACCAGCCAAATAATATATAATATATTAAATAAAATATATACACTTAACACGCCGAAGCATCCTTTGGCGTATTGTGACTTGTCAACTTGCTGTGGATCAGATTTTGTTGCATTGATACGTTGCATTGCTTTTTTATGTTGCAGCCCAACTTGGAGATAAACCACCATGCAGACAAATCTCTAGACAGCTTCTGTAAATGGCAGAAATCCATTCTTTCTCATCAGGGAGATGGAAACAGTATCCCAGAGAACGGGATCGCCCATCACGACAATGCTGTTCTCATTACCAGGTCGGTTACTATTATTTCCATCTGATTTCTGGAGTACTTCGTGGTTGAGGTTGGGGATATGGTTAGGATTGGGTTTGTTTGAAAGGAATGTTGTTTCAGGGCCAAGATGTTGATTCAGGAACACATCCCACTTGGTCACCAACACGTCATTTGTTCAAAAGCATGATTGACGACAACTAAACTTTACTTTAAGGACCAATTCTCACTATTAACTAGCATGCATATCACTAGCACATTGGGTTTTTATTAGTAGTTATAAAGCACATATCCTGAAAAGCCTTATTCTGCATGACCATATTTGAGATCCCTAATCCTTCCCCATACCTAAACTTAACAGCTACCTTAGTAACTATTAATAAGCAGCAAATTAGGAGTTTATTGAGGCAAAAGTTGCAGTTAGTAGTTAGTTAATAGTGAGAATGGGACCTTAAAATAAAGTAGAGTATATATATATTCAATGCTTAATCCACAACCTAAAGAATGTTAGCTAATAAATGTTAGCTGTCTGAAAGTGCAAATACTTCATTTTCACACCTCACTTTATAAAATTGTCACATTTCCTATTCAGTCTGACTATAACATTAGTTAACTAGTTAAGAACCTCTTTTTAAACTACCAACATCACCTTGAATTGTTACAGTTGCTTTGATATTTTTGATATTTTGACTGCGTAACCCAGCAAACTAAACGTGTCTTGTTGAAAATTGTTTTTATTGACTTGAGGTCATCTTTTTAATTTCCTAAGCTAAATTTTTCTTTGAGTCAGTCTGTGTTTGTTAAATACATACCCTTCTGCAATCCCTGCCTTAATTCATTCTATTTATGCAGGAGCTCAAAACGTCTTACAGTAGCTCTTTCAGTGATTAGTTTGTGGGCGATCAATCAGCTAAACTGCGGACAGCTCTGTGATTTTACATTTTTTACTAACTTCCTCAATTTAGCTAGAATTAGAGAAGACAGGCTTGTTTTAGGGTTGGTTGACATTTTGGCATTTAAGTTTGACAGTTTGAACTGGAAGCATATATTGGGTGGGTCGTTTACAACTGAGACTAAACTGGTTATTAATGTCATTGTTAATTGGTGTTCACTGAGGCATGACTGTGTGGTTTGGACAGGTGCGGGCCTTGACACCGTCAGCCGATACTGTAGACGTCACTCCTTGAGCAGAGGTTATTGGATATTTCTGTTTATACACATAATTTGTTTGACTTCTTAGTGTTTTGCTAAACATGCGGAGCCCAAACAACTTTTCGAATTGGCTGAAATGGGCGGTGCGTCTGACGCTAGTCTACAGAAAGTTTAATTTGAAGTTCTTCAGAACAGACACAAATCTGCCAAAGTAAGCCAGGCGGTAAACAACTAGCCGTTGTCCTGCTAATTTCTGGCAGACTGGTTTTGAGTCTGGCAAACAAACCCCGCTAGTTTACCGCTATAAATGGATTTCATTCTGAATTAAGTGCAGCTTTAAACTTTAGTCAGAGAATTTTCCTTTCAGAAAGAGAGGGAAACCTTTGTGTAATGCTAAATTTGTTGGAGGAATTGACATTTCATATTTCAGTTAAATATGAATGACTCCAAAGCTCATATTGTATTCTTTGGATCCGCAGCTGTTGTTTTAAGAGATCCGTTCTGATTGTTTGAGGCTTTACTCAAGAAACGAACAATAGTCAAACGGTGGATAGCTATTATATCCCAAGCCAAAAATGTTCATTAGCTCAAGGCGGTGTGTGGAACCTGTATATAGAGACATGCAGAATTTTTGGCATCTCCAAATCAAATTTATTTAGTTTTTTTTTTTTTGGAGTCTGAACAGAAAAACCACGTTTAAAAACTTGCAGTTGCTTTGAAAAGTTCATATTGAATTTCTTTAAAGAAAGAAATTATTAAATGTATTTATTCAATTATTTTAACTAAAGTCTTTCTCATCACTCTGGACTCATTCTTCATACAGTCGACTATGTGACATTTACTTTTATGACATTTATGTGACATTTACTTACACTATTTACATACTGAATGAGTCACTGAGGCAGTTATTTAGGACAAAGGAGTATAGTATATTCATGCTTCTGAGCGAAATGTTATGATAGACATGAGCAAAGGCAATATTTCAGTTTTCTGTCCTCTCTTTCCACATTGTGAGAAAGTCATTTTACATACATCAGCTGCACTATATTAAAGAACAGAGCAGATTACATCAGTAAAATGACAGTGTAGTCAGTCGGTTCTAGATTAGATTTGAAAATCAAATTTGATTCATGTGCAACTTATTTACATGAAGGCTAATATGCTGATTAGCTTTGTGTGGTTAGCGTATTGTTGAGTACTGCAGGAGGAAGGTACCCCTGCAGCGCCGCAATTTTATGACCATTTATACTAGCAGTGCTTAGTTTGGAGACATTTATGTGAGGGGATTTCATATATGACTAATGATAGCCTGAATGAGAGCTTAACAATCAGAGTGATGTTTCCTTGAAAGCCCGTTCAAGTAAACTCACCAGCATAACATACAATGTAATGTCTTTACTCATTAGCTCTCTAGCCGATTATGATTATTTGCTTATTTTGGTGAAAATCAGTGCTAATCAGTCATGCTTTTGACTGTTGTTTGACATCATACATTGACTTTTACTAAAATTGGTAACACTTTATTTTACAGTGTCATGTTCATGTTACAAAATTTATGTTATGCACATATACATAATTTAAAATGCAACTAACCCTAATCTTTACCCTAACACTATATTAATTGCATGCAGTTAATTAATATTACTCAGTACATGTAACAAGGACATTAACATAAAATGTAAGCTAAAATTGTCATAGTGACAGTAGTTTGCTGCAAAGTAAATACAGTTTTTTATAGCAAATATAGAATTTTACTGAACTTATTATAGCTGCTATTTACTACAATATCAAACGTTGCAATATTTTACAATGTTACTAAAATTGGGACAGTTGCTGTACTGTAGTTTACAATGCTTTTTATTAAGTTTACTATAATGTGTTTAACTAAAATGTAATTATGGAAACAACCACAATCATCGCAATTTAAGTACATTTTGCAACTATTGCTATTTTAGTCACTGTACATTGTTAAAATGATCTGAGATTCAGAATCACTAAACTACCATAACTTTGACACTTTTAGTAAATTTTAATGAATGCAAAAAGCTTACAGTAAACTTCAAAAACGATTGTAACTATAGGCACGTTTCCATTACCCTTCAAATTGTGCAAATTGAAATTGCGAATTGAAAATACGCCTAATGGAAATGCGTCAATTTCGCAAAAACGCCCATATTTCGCAAAAAAGTTTTTACGCTCTCATGAGGTGGTTTTTCAGGCAATGCAAAAAAGGAATCATTCGCAAAACTGCAATGGAAACGGCTTTTCCGCATTTACAGGTCACATGGCGTATGTAAAAAGTCATATGATCATTCTTCAATGTACTATAACCTCCAAGAAACACTTCATATGTGGCTGCTCTCCAGTATAAGGGGCTTTCCCTACCATTAATGCTTAGAAAAACGTCTGTGGTGCAGTGTAGCTCTGATACGGCCACTGAAGCTGATTGCGGCCACAATGCTTGTGTTTATTCCAGCCACGCCACACACGTTTCTGAAGTGGCTCTCTGTGCTGCTTCTGTAAAGATACACGCATACGCCTCCTTTGAATAAATATAGCCAAAATCCGTCAAATCCCACCAAAATCCGTTGCCATGACTTATCGCGAGAAGGCAAAGGTTACGTTTTAGTCGCATAACATTGGTTAATGGAAACGCTGTCATTTCGCAATACTTTTTAATCGACATTTATAAAATATCGCCAAAGTTTTGCGCAAACCTGTAATGGAAATGCGCCTTATGAGAATAAAAAAAAAAAAAACTATTCCAGTTTTTGAAATTGTAATTTTAATCAAATTTGTAAACTACAGCAAATTTTTGAAATTTGCCAGCTTTGGTGATTTACTTAAATGACCAAAAGTGTTCATTTTAATCTGTATAAAGTTTACTAAAATTGCAATAATTGCAGTAATTTACAAAATGCAGTAAAATTGTGATCTTTGTACTTTATGGAGTTTATTAAGTTTACTAAAATAGATATAGTTGTGTGATTTTAAATTGAAAGGTGTAACAGAAAAAGGACATCACTCTCACAGTAGAAATTATTATATATCCATGTATTGGTTGTTAAATTACTTTGACTTCACCAGAGGTCACATGGACAGTTTTCTGAGGTCAGCTGTCCCTCTCATTGGGTGGCTCAGAGATGTAAACATTTAGACAGAAGCTCTCGGGTGATGGCATTTGCCACATTTGCTGCAGTACCTCTGCTGGTACAAGAGAAAGAGACATTAGTGGGATAAAGACTGCGTGATGCAGACACATCATCCTGACGGACGGTCCGTTCTGACCTCTTCAGCAATGTTTTTCCAGTCCTAGACTTTTGACCGGAGCATGAAGGGGGGATGCAATATTGCTTGTTTGGAACACGATCCATTGTGAGAGCTGAGGGAAATTAAAGTAACTAAATCAAAATAAATCGATGTCCAAATGAGGTCAGCTTCTCGACACAAGTTCATGAGACAGTACCTAATGCTGGTGGGTTTGCTCTGCTTGGGGAGTCGTGGGATGAGGAGGGAGCGACTGAATTTGAATTTGCATTGTCCTTGGTTTTCTAATACATTAAAAGCCCGTCCTCAAGGCCTCTGCCCTGGTACCTTGTTCATCATTCTGCATGCATGCCTTTCTTTTTTTATTATTATTGAATTACCAGTACAGTACATACATCAATTAGACACCAAGGGAAACAGTGGGTCAGTCGCGCACACACACACACACACACACATACTGTATGTATATTGGATCTTCCATCTAATTTACTCCAAAGTTTAATATGTAACTTGTTATACATACAGATTTAGCAATTTGATGAAATGCTAATATTATGTAGTTATTATTAGTTGTGTTTGCTTAAGGCACTATTAATAATATATATATTTTTTCAAAGCCTGTTAAACTAATAAATATTAATAAATATTCCAGTTCGGTTCAAATTCTGTCAACATAATTTGTGGTATAATGCTGATTACCACTAAAAATTAATTTCAACGTATCCCCCGTTTTCTTTCTTTTCTTTAAAAAAATTGAGAAACAATTTTACAGTGAGGCACTTACAACGGAAGTAAAGGGGGTTTAAATTTATGGAGGGTTTGCAGAAATGTAAAGCTTATTACTGAATAAATGTATTGACATTAATTATTTTGTTAAAACGTGTGTATTATTTATGCTTTAAAGTTTATCTTGTCAATTTTACAGTCATTTTTAAGAGATTATTTAGGCTACTCACCTTCATGTTGTTCCAAACCTTCAAACTTTTTTCTTTTTGGAACATAAGAAAGATCTTTTGAGAAATGTCTCAGTGGTATTTATTTCCATTCAATAAAAGTAGAAGGTAACCAAAATGACTTAGTTATCAGCATTCTTCAAAATAATTTTTGTGATTTGCAGAAGAAAGAAAGGCATGCAGGTTTTGATCAACGTGACGGTGAGCAAGTGATAACAGAATTTTCATTTTTGGGTCAACTATCTCTTTAAGGTTTTAGGTATTACATTACAGTGGCAACATAGTTGGATATCATTTAGAAATAAAATGTAAACAGAAAACGTTAATAAGAGATTTAAAGGGGTCCTATTACACTTTTTCACCTTTCCTCTTGTTTGTAAACATTCTCAGGGTCTTAATTGTGCAAAATTGACACCATCGTTAATATTGATAGCTGAGCAGATGAAGCTTGCGGTTATGGTAAGGGGTGTGGCATCTCTGGAACACGCTCTAAGCGGTTCACCAATCACAGCGCACTGGGCCAGCTAACCAATCAGAGCACATTTCATATTTCGAAAGGAGATATGGGCTGTGTCCGAAATCGCCCCCTATACCCTCATTCACTATTCCCTGTTTTGACTAGCCACCTAGCAACGCCCTAGCAACTACACAGCTACACAAAACGCCCTACTAATTGCATATCAACTCACTTGCATGGGCAGGCACTGCTCACATTGTCTTAAGAATGTTTTACATGAGCGCGAGTCACAATGGGTTTACATTTTTTCACATTTGTATAAATTGTATAAGCAGCGTCTTACGTGCTTATAAACTGTGCAAAGGAGCACAAAGAGACCCTTGTTTTGATTATTTATTTTTTGGCTGCAATATTCCAGTATGATTTTCCAGATTCAGAGATCTTTTGGCTCTTTTGACCCTTTTCAGCTGCCACAGTAAACAGAGCACATGGATATCTTCGGATCAACACCAAAATAGAAGGCCGATAGGAACTTTTTTTTCAACTACCAGTCTGACTGAATACGTGCATAATGTCTGCGCCGTTCCCCTCAAGCCCCTGACGCAAAACACAAAGCTTCTGAGAGAGTTTAATATGATTCAGATCAGGCACTGTGTCTTTCCTCTCTGCTGAAGACGATGTCAAACAAAGCCTGGCTGCCTGCCTTTGGCCAGACTCAGCAGCCCAAACAGCTTGTGATATTTTTCGGGAGGTGTTAAATCCCCCGTTTGGGGAATAAGAAAATATTTGGCATTCTTTCATATAGGCCTGCCGTCGAAAATGTCCGCCGACTGATGACAAGTCCCAGTGGGGAAAAAGAAAGCGTTTGGGTTACAAAATAAACAACAATAAAACTAAATAAAAAGAAAACCGAGGCGAGTTGCACAAACTGACAGTGAGTTATAGTGGATGCTGTCAATAAAATGTGGGCCATAGATTTTGATTACATTGTATTAGTTTGACGTTTTCAACTTTCTTAAAAGAAGTAAAAGTAGTAGTCTAATAATTATTCAACTTCAAGACGTGACATTCTTGCAGCTCAAACATGTTGAAAGCAAGAACATAAATGTAAATGTGGACCTTGTTAATGTTAATGTAAGATTATGTGTTACGGACATGAACCATAATCGCATACTAATGCACTGTGCTAATACAGTTTTAACGTGGTGGATAATAAAATGGGTGAAAAAATGGGTGGACTTGCATAAAAGGAAGGACGTGAGCCATACTGTTTCATAGTTGGATCCTTTTGGTTACACCAGAGGTGTAAAGAGTACCTAAAAACCATACTTGAGTAAAAGTACAGATACCTTACAGTGAAAATTACTCCACTACACGTTACAAGTCACCCATTCCAAAACAACTTGAGTAAAAGTCTTAGAGTATCTGATTTTAACAGTACTTCAGTATTTTACTTATACTAAATATAGGCTCAAAGATGCACTAGTCACAGAGACATGCAAGTGATAAACTGTAACGTTGTGTAGAAGCTGCGGGAAACAGGCAGAGGCAAGGATCTATGTGCAGGCATTTAATGGAAAAACTAGAACAACCAATAAGGCAAAAACCAAAGGGAACAAAGAACAGAATGACTGGCAAAAAACACAACCATTACATTCAACAACTCACAAGGAACTAAAGAAAAACTAGGGCTATATACACACAGGGGGCTAACAAGCGTAACAAGATAAGACACACCTGGGGAGACTAATCAAGGGGATCCAATGAACAAACGGACTACAAACTGACTACAAACACCACGGAAGACAGAAAGTGACATAAAAGTCCAGGGCAAGGCACAAAGAGCATGAAACAAAAACAAGAAAGAGTTGATTTATGAGGAGAGCAATTAAGTTTATTTTCTAAAACCAAAATAAAACTGAACACCTCAAAATTACAAAACAAACAATATCTTTCAAAAAAGTATCTTCGGTATAATGGATACATAAAATAATGTTAAGTAAAATTAAAAAGCCGAAGCCTTCTTGCACTGGATGTGCTGGTTTGGGCCTCATTGCCAGTTGCAGTCATGTCCTCATCTCATATATAAAACACCTCTGATTCACAAATACTTGCTAAGGAACTCGCATTCACATGAAGTAGCCTTGTTGACAAGTTTGGGTGAGTAAGGGCAAAACCTGTAGCAGGCAGTATCACGTCTTTTGCAGCAGAAATAAACTGCTGCAGTAAAAGCTAGGTCCATGCCAAATGTAATGTGTAACTGCAACACTCATTTCAAATGTAGTGGAGTAAAGAGTACAGATACTCGTTCAAAAATGTAGTAAAGTAAAGCGTAAAAGTTGCTAATATCTTTGATACTCAGTACAACTACAAAGTACCTGAAAAGATACTCAAGTACAGTAACTGATTACATTTACTCCAATACTTTACACCTCTGGGTTACACTATATATTTCAATAGTCCACTTTAGACATTTTACTAACTACTAAGTAACTTTGCAAGTACATGTCAACTAACTCTCATTGCAGTAATAGATTGCTAGGTTAGGGTTAGTAGAATAAGTTCACATGTACTTGCATAATTACTTGTAGTCATTAAAATGTTTGTTGGATGACCATCAAAATAAAGTGTTAGCAGATATTAAGCTGACAGTCTACAAATATTCTAATGACTGCTAATTGACATGTAGTTGTGAAGTTAGCAGAATGTCTAAAGTGGACTATACCCTTTTTTGACACCAGAGATTAAGCAGCCACCCAGAACACATTAGTTACCCCATTCGAACGAGTTTTGCACAGGCAAAGGCATTCACGTTTTCTTTAAGTAACGCATGGAGTTCTGTTGAATTTCTGTCATACAAAGACCTCACTTTCGGTTTCTTTTCTCTTTTAGGTATGACATCTGCACCTATAAGAACAAACCCTGCGGTACTCTCGGTAAGTACCTGAAATGTATCCTAAAATGAAATATATTTTGATTTAAAGGGTTAGTCCCAAAATGAAAATGCTGTCATCATTTATTCAACCTCATGTTGGTCCAAACCCATAGGAAATTTGTTCATCTTCGGAACACAAATCAAGATATTAATCAAAATCTGAGAAGTTTCTGTCCCTCCATTGAAACTCTATTCACCCAAAATGTTGATGCTTCAAAACATTCATAAAGAGATTGTAAAGTAAATGTATATGAATAGAGTGGTTTAATCCAAGAGTCACAATGACTTTATATGATGAACATTTAATTTAGGCTTTTAGTCACATATAAACCCTAGTGAAAAATAAATATACTAAAAGGTATACTACAGATACATTTTTATTATTTATTTAGTCATTTAGCAGACACTTTTATCCAAAGGGACTTACAAATGAGGACAATAAAAGCAGTCAAAACTAACAAAAGAGAAACAATATATAAGTGCAAATGACAAGTCTCGGTTAGCCTAACACAGTACACGTAGCAAGGTGTATATATATATATATATATATATATATATATATATACACCTTGCTACGTGTACTGTGTTAGTTTTTTGTTGTTGTTTTTTTTCAAATAAAAAAACAAAAATGAAGATAAATATAGATAAAGTAGAATTAAAATAGAATAGACCAACACTGTCGTCACTCCTCCTTTTATCCCTCCGGAGCTCCTCCGCGGGACTCGAGACCGGTGAGTGGTGCAGGTGTCGCTCATTATCATTTACTCCACCGGCCTCGCTCCGTTCCCATGGCTCTCGGCCCCACCCCTCTCGTCACAGTGACATTAAAACACATTTTAGGCTTAATATTAAGAAATGCGCATTGTGCACAAGTAATACTCCAAAATAAAGTTGAATTATAATTTTTATATCCGTTAGTCTTGAGCAATATGGCAGTAAATATGTTAATAGATTTTAACTATAACCTCACAGGCTCTTGCGGATCAAGCAAGTATGCTTGAGCTTCCATAATCAAATTCGAATTGAATTGGATTAAAAATATCTTCATTTGTCTTCCGAAAATGAACGAATTTCTGGAACTTCTGGAACGGCATGAGGGTGAGTAAATGATGACAGAATTTTCATTTTAGAGTGAACTCACCTCACCTCAAACATATGTCACTGAATGGCAAATGCTACATGCTTCGTTAAACAAATAATTTGGTAAGATTATTGAGAAAGACTTCGCTGCCCTGTCTTTATAGATCTCATGTTGAGCTGGCTCAACGCCTGCCTGCCTCTACAGGCTTGAGCTTCCATAATCAAATTCAAATTGAATTGGATTAAAAATATCTTCATTTGTCTTCCGAAAATGAACGAATTTCAGGAACTTCCGGCATGAGGGTGAGTAAATGATGACAGAATTTTCATTTTAGAGTGAACTCACCTCACCTCAAACATATGTCACTGAATGGCAAATGCTACATGCTTCGTTAAACAAATAATTTGGTAAGATTATTGAGAAAGACTTCGCTGCCCTGTCTTTATAGATCTCATGTTGAGCTGGCTCAACGCCTGCCTGCCTCTACAGCCGCCGCTGTCTCTTGTTTCATTTCCAAACATTCCCACTCCTGTTTGCTACGGGTCGGAGGTGTTTACCCCTCCCCTGGGCAAGCCAAAAAAGAAAACCAGTGAGGACAGTTAGACTATACAATATATAACAGAGAACAACAGATAAAAGAAGAATTAATATGTTTAAAGAAGTCGGGATAACTGAGGAGAAAGCAAACACTGGTGTTTTCCCCCCCTTAAATGGTCTGCAGGCAGTGTCTTATCTGAACCAGCCCCCTCCAGGGCTGAACCGTATATCTTAGAAGTAATATTGTGACTCCAGGGGTGGTTTGACAGATTGACCGCATTCGTCACATTCCCCGGGTCCCTTTAATTGCCCTGGCATCTGCTCTGCTTCCTTGCTGCCCCCCTCCTCTTTCTCCACCTCCATCTCCACTTCAACACCCCCCACTCACCCAGAGGCATCATCGTGATCTCGGGTCAACGTGTTGCCCTCTGGGGGTCACCGGGTAATCGCAGAGCGGGGATAATACCAACGCGACCCTTGGCTTATGAAAACAAGTCCCACCAATGAGCTTTCGACTCAGCCTGGGCCCACTAGCCCTTTTCCATCCTGTATCTCTTTCCTTTTTTACCCTCTTGCCTCCAGTCGGTGTCTTATTAGCCATTGATTTGCATGTTGGCTCTTGTTTGGGACTCTGGATAAGGAAGATAAAGAGGCCAGAAGTGCTTTGTTGGAGCGATGGTTCCCAAGCAGACACAAGCTTTCTCTGTGTGCCATATTCTTGTGCAATATCTTTAATATTATTTTGCCCACAGGGAGGTCAGCTTTATACCTTTCCAATAATCTTTTGTTATATTATCAACTTTAAAGCAGTAGTTCAGCCTCGTAGCATTCCAAATCTGTATTACTGTGTTTTCCATGGATCACGGGTCAGTGACAATTAATTTTTTTTCCGAAATGCAATTAATATATCTCTTTAAAAATGAGTAGGATTTCAATTTCTGAATTAAAATTCTTTTTATATTTCTGGAGAGGCATGAAGTCGAAAATGTCAAGGTGATAGTTCTAATATTAAAACGAAGGGGGAAAGCCTCCTTAAAAGAATTAAATTCTTAAGTAGTCTGAAATAATATTTTATTGTTGTTTCTTAGAGAAAAAAAATAACTGCCTATTAATATTTGGGGAAACACCATATGGTGTGACCAACAATGTCATGTGGTGCAACCAACATGCAGAAAACAATAACATAAAAAACATCCCCTGCAGACTCTTAAAATATCAGACAGTTTTACCTTTTCATAATTCATTATTTAAGGCAAGATTAGTTCAGGTTTTAAAATGTCAGATGGTGCAACTCCACAAAATTAATGATATTTATGAATGAATAATTCATTGATCCACACTTGGATATTTCCGAAAATCACCAAGCTGCTATTTTCCATATACAATGAAAACACAGTCTTTAAATTTATGACACAAAAAGGACCATAAGAGTATAATGAACTGAGGCATAAAACGTGTTATATATACTGAGTCACATATGAGGAAAGCTCTCATATTCTATAAGCGGCAAGTGCATTTTCAACCTCGTGTGAAGACACGTTACACTAGGTTTAATGTTGATGACTCCAACTCCTATTAAATGTGAATTGTTAAATGTGACATACCAGTGAATACAAACATTCTTCAAAATATTTAAATTGACTTGTTCTTGTGCAGAAACCCCCCACCCCCACCCCAACAGGTAACTTATCCAAGACTCAATTGTTGAATTATGGACTTTAAATTAAAGGCTGAGGTTTCCTTTGTGCATTTGAGTTTGCAAAGATAAACTACCCTACCATGTGTCTGATCCAACCAGAGACTAGAGCAGGCTTCTTGAATGGTCCTCCATGCATCTAGCTTTAGGGTTTTGTGTTTTGCTCCCACCAATCATCAACAGATGTAATCTGCTGAGAATTGTTCTGCTCTCCCAGTCTGGATAGATGGGAAAAAAGAACTAAGAGACACCTGGATTTTGCAAAAGCCCTTTTCCCCACTTCATAGCTTCAAGGGAACCCCCTCCCCTTAACAGAAGCAGCTGGCTTTGAGACTGTGAAGACTCAATCCTTGCTCCATCTTCTTCTTTGTCAAGAAGAAACATCTGATATTTTTGTAAGACATGAAATGAATCCTTTTTTAGGAGAATTAAAAGCATAAGTTGTTAAATGTTTGTTAGCTATCTTTTTGCTTCAGAAAACATGGAATACAGTGTACAAATGTAATGTAAAACAAAAAAACCCTGTGAAATAGGGCACAATGTACTGTATTAAAATGAAGGGATTTCTGTGTGTGTATATATATATATCTACATATTACAGGTGTTTAACCTGTATTATGAATTTTGCACTTCATTACATTTTGTTTTATGGTTAACAGAATTGTCCATAAAATGAATAGTTAATTATCATTACATATTCATTTTTATTTATTTATTTCTTTTACAGTGTATGGACTACTGTTCTGATACTTCCGCAGAAGAAAGTTTAATGTATCAAATCATTAATGTAACAAAAATGCAAAGGAAATCCCAGAAAAGCATTTTTTAGTATTTTTTTTAAATGGTAACGCTTATGATTTTTTATTTTAAATAATCGCTTAAATTTTATCCCCAAAATTTGCTTCTTGTGTGTATTTTTATGCTTAATTGGAGTAGCATGTTGTTAGGTTATCAACCTCTAGCCAAACCTCAATCGTGAGTCGATTCTCCACTGTACTTTGCATAATGTTGAGTGTTGTTCGCTTGACTTTGTTGCTGTTGATGAATGTGTTGTTCTAAGTTAGGCAGTGTACAGAAAGATTTGTGAAAGTTTTGTGAGATCCAAGTGCTCTATGTCAGTGCTGCCATACTGAGGTGGCTTGCTACAAAAGTTGCTACATAAAAACAGAGAGTAGATTTAATGTTTCCTTCATTACATACCAATTAAATAACAGGCCTTTTTATTTATGGCAAGGAAAATGACAGTGCAACATAAAGCTTAAAAAAGCACAAACCTCTCAGAAAGCCAAGTCCCTGTAGACCAGGGACCAAAACACTGTCAGTAGTAAATTTCAGCTTATGTGGGTTTTATGTTAATACCCAAAAATTGTCAGCTAAATCTTATTTGGAAGAAAACAAACATAACAAGATTAAGAAAACAATGATTTCTTTCACTCTTTTTGCAACTCTGAAACCTTAAATAATAAAAAACATCTATATTTTAGGGGCACAAAGTGATGTGTTTTCTTGAATTCCTAGCTCTGGTTTGAATTACTAGGTGGTCCCTTGTTACCAGATGTAGAATTTATAAATCTAACCCCCATGTCTAGACATTTTCCAGCTACAACATCAGTTGTTTTTTTATTTAATCGTCTAGCCGTCAGTGTTGACCCACCCCCTGGTGATTTAAAAAAACTTTCACGTAAACTTTTCACCAGCTTCAAATTCAGTGGTGTCAAGGTTAATGTGAAGAATCTCATTTTATGGTGGTGACTCAGTGCAGCACTTCTACACCTTGACCTGACCTTATGTATGTATGTACGTATGTATGTGTATGTGTGGTCAGGTTTGGCGTCCGTAGCCGGAATGTGTGAGCCAGAGAGGAGCTGCAGTATTAATGAAGATATAGGCCTTGGTTCAGCCTTCACTATTGCACATGAGATTGGACACAAGTAAGTATATTTTCTCTCTCTATTTGTCTTTGTGTTTCTTTCTGAATTAATAAATGTGAACAGTCTTATGGATATAGATTGTAATATGTTAATTGCAGTTAATTAGTGGTGTTTGCTAAGGCAGGCGTCACTATTACAATTTGAAACCTAAAGGGAGAGTACACCCAAAAAAGAAAAAAAAAAAAGAAAAGTCAATGGCTATGATGTCAATGAAGTCAGAAAGTATAAATGATTATGAAATTGTCAATTTTGGGTGAATTATCCCTTTAAATTGTCTTGTTTACAGTGAGTTTATACACTTTCTGGCACTTTTATTGGAAAATATTTGGGAGAAAAGAAAACAAGAATGTTGCAAGCCAGATTTGAACTCACTTTTCTTGTATGAGCACCACGACTCAATGTTTTGATAACATAATGAAGAAAAAAAAACTCTTTTGGTATTATTGCTCAAGAAAATCTTATTTTAACAAAACTGTAAATTCGAAAAGCCTTTATCTGCCAAATGTGGTGTTATGTGGTTCAACCAGTGCCGATCCTAGACTTCTGGGGGCCCTACGCAAAACTGTGGGGGTGGGGGGGGGGTTGGC